TAATAATACCTTCCCCCTCATTTCATGCTCTTTCCCCTCCATGCTGATGGTGCTTAGCTGATAATTTTCAAAGCTTTTCTTACACATGTATGAGAGCTAGTTTCTTTGCTGACTATTCTGTAGTGGGATCTCTGGTGATACCTGAGCATGTCAGAACACATCCTAAAACATCTGAGCATGTCAGAATGTGTCCTAACCCATCTTTTTTTCTTTTTTCTTTTTCTAAATTTTAATTTTAATTTTCAGTAAGTCTTGCTGCTGTTCTTTTTTCCTTCTCACACTTTACTTGCAGTATTTATCATCTGCAGCTAAATGATAGCAATATGCTGCAGAGGGATCCACCAGTCATATTGATCCGCTGTTTCTTCCCTTGTCACTCCCAGGGGGGAGGACAAAATCAGATGGCAATTTACAGTTGTCTTTTCAGAGCATCTCTGCATTGGTCTTGTCACATGTAGAACGTGAGTAACATTCTCAAGTTCCATGTCCTAAGTGCCACCTTGCTTCCCTGCTCTGAAGTTCCTCCTAGGTTTTAGCTGAATGGGATGTCTCACAAGATGCTGACATACCAAAAATAAAAGAAAATCAGCATCAATCTTTATTTTAAAAAATAAAATTTGAGTCTTCTTGAGCTATATTACCATTTTCTAACAAAGATTTGATGAGGGGTAGTTTTAAAGGAAATGTACCTGCAAAGGATCTCACTTGAGGAGAAGAATTTTTAAGAGTAACAGCCATTCTAGGTAAATGTCTTACACTAGAAAAATGGTAGAATTCCCCTATTAAGCTACAAATATCCTGACATCAATACTGTCATCAAAAGAAGGTTTCTCTGTGACACATCATTATTCCAGGAAATAAGCAGAAAGAAAATGAGACATGTGGTGGTGGATTTTAGGAACCTGTAAGAAACTGAATCCAGTTTCCTCTCATATAGTTAAGTGAAAACATTTCTCTGAAATCCCAGATTCAGTGGAAGCAAAGCCAGGTACAGATTAATAAATACTAGATGCCTCTTTTTCTGGGGGGTGGGTGAAGGGGAGGAAGGAGGTGAGTTTATAGTACTTCAAATTGTTGATATGAATATAAGAAATTGTTGCCTGTAACAGACAAAAGGATACACTTCCTACCAACTTATTCCTGGAAGTGTTTCCGTTGCTTTGGTGGGGCTCATTCTCTGACCACAACTCACAACCTCTTTGCTTTATGAGCTTCTAACATACCTGGAGAAGTGAGTCAGAATCAACTCCAATAGCTCTTAAAAAGCTTCATTCTGAGAATGGAAAAAGTTTTCCTGGGGTGACACTTCCCCAGAGCATAATGTGCATTGTCGGAGCTGCAGCTTTCTTTAGAGAGACATACAATGAAGCTTCAATAACATACAAGCACGCTTGGAGTTGCACATGGTGCAAGGGTCATATTTATACCTGGTCGCTGCAGTGTTTCTACAGAATTATATACTCTTTATTTTTATTTATTTATTTATTTTAAATTAAGGTAAGAGTATTTCTGAGGGTTTTAATCTCCAGTATTCCCCACAATTCTGACAACAGTGTTTTTTTTCAGGCTCTTTTTCAAATGATGATTTTGTTGTGTTCTTCTATCTAACCGAAGCCTATAATCTGCAGTGTGAATTGGCAGCTTGCCACGCGCAGCAGATGGACTTGAGCATGCTTCTGCCAGGGAGCTAGCATGTGCACCAAGCTCTGCGCGTGTGGCATCCATTTCCTAACCAGAATGTCAAAACAGCTGTCTGTGAAGGACTTCTGCATCTGTACTAACAAGATCTGCCAGAAGTTCTGTAATTTGGAGCATGGTTTCTATCTGAGTCATTTGAGCAGTTTTAATGTGCCCAAAGCTAGAGCAACGGTCTCTGAGCTCCATGATTTATAATGGTTTGTAGGAGGATTATCCTGCGGGGTGGTAGGGGTTTGTGTCTAATGCACATCTACCTAGCTGTGTTCACAAAGGTGCTGAAGACGGAGACTCAGCTATCTCTTGGTAACCGTCTTAGTGTTGTTTCAGAAGTTCCTGGCTCCCTCAAATGGGACAGAAATGTAAAAAAATATTTGGATGAATTTCAGAGGATTTCAAGGGCAACAGGTGCAGCAATAGTTGAGTGAAGGCAAGGTGCATTATCAGCAACTGGCACCTGCCAGCAGGTGCTGGGAGGGAGAAAGCAGCGTTCCTGTCCAGTGATGCTTCCCAGCCTGGTGGGAAGCGGCTTCTTCATTCAAGGTCCCTGCAGTTTCACATAAGCTGGCGTGCTTGCCTGCTTGGCTTTCACCCTTGTTCAGGGGATTATTTTTAATGATTGCCTCCAGTTTTTTCTTTTATAGGGCGTTTCTCTTAATGAAGAAACAAAAGTTGAAGTCTGCATTCTAAAAAATATTTTGATTTCTCTATTTTATTAATCTAGTGCTGGCTGTCTGACCTTTTGTTTCCCATTACAAATAATCACTTGAATTTTCTCAGACCTTATGAAATGGCTGTAATGAAGGCATAGAACTTGCCCTTTGGAATAGAGAAGAAACAAGCCGTTTCTGTCTGTAGCTGCATCTTACCAGTGAAGTTAAAAATGTTTTCAAATCTTTTTCTCAATAAAACTTGAAATAATTGCCCTATTCCAAATGTGTTTTTTTGTTTGTTTGTTTTTTTCCTTATTTTTCTTGTTCTTTTACTCTCACAGGCCAAATGGCAAATGAATGTTTTGCTTCCTCTTTCCTTCCCTAAAATACATGGCAATAACTTCCACGAGAGATTTCTGAGGTGACCAAAAATGCATTTGTCTAATCAGTTTTACTTTCATTTTAAATAGTTCTTCGTGAGATGTGCAACAGATGATCATATTACATTATTTCCTCTGGTACTCGATCATGTAGAATGGGAAACTGGGATTAATGGGTTGTTATAATGTCAAATAACTGCTCAGATCCATGGGATCACATTCTGTGGCACTGCTTATCCCACACCAACACCACGGATTTAGGACCACTCTTCCATTAAACTTATTAGCCATGTCCGTGTAGCACATCTTTGTGTAAAAGATATTAGTAGTCATTAGAGGTCCAAAGAATTTGGGATGGATTACTTCATGCTGTTTATTTGTCCTTGCCTTTTATTTTGAAGAGAAGTCTCAGATCCTTAGGTATCACTTTTCATTCCTTCTTGGCTTATGTTCCCTGTCTCTGTAAATCTCGTGTACTGGCTTTGACTTCAGATAGATGTAGGGTGACCATTAAATTGGCTTGTAGTAAAGTGAAGGCTAGCTAAATGCATTGAAACTGCATCAATATGTTGAAGCTAATACAAACCACTTATAGAAAAACAAAGTAACCTGAGGGTGCTATTAATTTTAGATTAAGAATGCATCAAGGAATGAAGGCTAATCCATTAAACCAGGATTGTTTTGCTATGATTCTAATGTAAATCAATGTCAGAAAAGTAAAGATATTTGCAGCAACTAAGCAGTTTCACCAAGATCAAGCCAAAGCTTGAGATATCCTTTTCACTTTTGTGGGTTTGCAATCCTTTTTCTTATTCCTCATACAAAATTAATTAGTAAGACTGGAAATAATTCATCTCTCAACCAAAAAAAATCCTTAGGAGACTAGAATGATGTCTACATAGAACTCATAGAATGACACAGGCTTATTAGGTAATCATGTACAAGAAGCAAACACTGAAAAAGTAATAAAAAATAAATCAGAAATATATAGATATATTTTATTTTTTTTTCCCCGACAGTTCTTTTAACTATTTGTACTTTCTGCAACCACAGATCAAAACTACAGGGAGGAGTGTGACTTTTAAGACTGAAATATCCTTTACATTTTTGCAGTTTATTATGCGTTGCTTTAGCTAGTAGAGTGAAACGCATAAAAAATCTGTCCCCATGTGCCTCTGTTAGTCTTTGAAGGTAAAAGGCAGTCACCTGCCATGGGAGGCTACAGACAGTCCACAGGCTTCACAAGAACAGCTCCTGCTTCCTCCGTTTTTTAGGGAGAGCCATTTTGTTGAGGTAATCCCGATTATTATTGTTATTATTTTTCCCTTTATCAAAGTATTCTAGCAGTTTCCTGTCCATTCTGATGCTACAGCACATTCAGGCAGAGCTGGGATGAGGCTCCAAGCAGCCACTGCCTTTGACTGGGCACAAAGGAAGCAGTTTCCTTGGCAACCGCAACCCCAGAAAGGTCCCAAAACAGCATTTCCACCTGCCTGAGATTTCTTTTTAATTTAGGAGTTTGCACATCAGCTTTGCATGGAGAATTGGGTTCTGTCCTAAGGTTTTAACAGAAGTTGCTTACAGGAATAACATAATTTTTGCATATGCATCTATTCTTTGGACTGACTGGCTTACAGGAAAGACTGTCAATTTATGTAGTGCCAGTGGATGCTGCAGTAACACGTGGTAGGATTCAGGAAGGACACGCAACACTTAAGCTACAAAAATTAAAACACCACAAGAGAGAAAAAGCCCGTCTAGAGAGGAATTAGCTTGCTTCTGTGTCTGTGGTAGAAATTACGAGATCAGAGAAACTGCCAGACTTGCTTACATCTTTGGGTTGTACTAGATTTGTCAACTTGAAGCTGAACCAGCCGAAGGGAAGGCCCTGGCGTAAAGAAGTGCTGCAGGCAGGTGAGGCGACTCGACTGCCCCGCGGGCCGGGATCCCCCTGGTCTTCTGCACCGCTGCTGAATTCACAGAGGGACGGCCGGTTTCACAGAGAAAGGCTCATTTCTGCTCTTGAGGACACTCAGAGCAGCTCCTGGCAGTTTTTAATGAGGCAGTTGATGTGAGATGCTGCGTGTGTGGCCCCTCCACCCTGATGAGAGCCAGGCTGGGCCCTGCAGGCCCACGTAGGCCGCAGTGCCCCACAGCCTCCCTTCAGCTGGAACCCAGCTGCCCACAGGGACCACAAGCTTCTCCTCTGGGGTGTGGAAGGATAAAAGGAAACCCTGGCAGCAACTGTGGAGTTGAAGTTCACTGCATCTGCCACTGAACGAGCTGGAAAATAGCTAAAATGAAGAGCTGATGTTGTGGCACTGTGCTGGTGCCATGTTGGGCCAGCAGAGGCCCCAGGACCTGGACAAGGCTGGCGCTGGAAGAAACCAAAGGATGGTCCTCTGGCCTCAATATCTGCACGATTAGCAGAGGTACAAACTAAAAAATACCACAAATGCTATAGCAGCAGGCCATAAGATGAGATTCTTACGTGACTGACCCCTTCACAGCCATTTTATTTCAAGACACCAGTGAAATTTGAAACCAGAACATGTTTAATTTGCTTTTGGCTTTCAAATATTATCAAAAATAGTTACATGGAACTAAGCAAGTGTTTCTTGCCCACCGCACTGTGGAAACACAGGACTGTCTTCTTAAGACAAAATAGCTATGCCACGTAGGTGACACCAATTACCCCCAGTGCAGGCCCTGACGAGCAGGAGGAAATTGCAAAGAGCTGCAGCAATAAGGAGTGGGAGCTGGGGTAGTGTGAGGTATCTGACTTAAGGGAGGAAAGGTGAAGGAAATAACTTTTGAACTCCAAATACAAGTGAAAGCAGAGCATTAGCTGTACAGGCAGTAAAGCTTGGTAGAGTAAAATGCTGCCTGTGATTGTAAGCCAGACCTGGAGGACAAAGGTGAAGCCTGCAATCAAGGTTTCTTAATAAGACAGATGTTCCTCAAAGGTATGTTGTTGCCTTTCCATGTTGTATTTTTAGTTTAGTTTTGCAATACTGTTGTCCTAGGGAAGCTTTTCTTTGGTCTGACTGGTGCTGTTGGTGTATCTGATGGTACCTATTTCTCTGTAAAGTTGTTGGGATGTCCATGTGTAGCAGTAGTTCTGTTGTTCTCGTGTGGACTAAAGCTTACTAGAGTGTGTTGGAGAAGAGAGATGCAATCATTTTATCATTCTTTGAGTATTAGGGTGCTTCTTCAGCTTGTTACGCTTTTCTACATGTCTCTACTTCTATGAATTAACTGTTCTAAGACCATTTGCCTGTACAGATTGTATGTTATCTTCAGATTTACCAGTGCTGAATTCTGTAAGCAATTATGTGTGCTTTTTTTCCTGTGTAGGAGACATGCCTTTGTGTAGCACACGAGCATTCAGATTTGAAGTAAGGGATTTCTCAGTCACTGCTGCAACACAGAGAAATAACAACAGAAATCATGTTTTATTGCTTTGCCAAAACAGTGTTTATGTTATAAATCTCTACCTGATGTTTCCCTTTTCATGAGCTGCACCTTGAGAGGGGCTACTTAACTTTATGGATGGCAGACAGGTAGCCCTTCCAGCAGCTCTGGTGAGTGCCTTGAAAGCAGAGGTGCTAACTGAAGCAGCTGAAGGTGATAACTAAAACTAAGCGGTGTCACTGTCCCTCCTCCACCTGAGTTCCCAACAGCCAATTAATATTTCTTGAACTTGAGTGATAAGGCTCAGAGTGCGACTCTGTGCTTAACAGGGAGAAGAAAAATTCTTCACAGCTGCAGCAGCTATTTCAATCCCTCTTTGACAGATCTTTAATATGACACTCTTGTCTCCCTGGAAGAACCAGATCCCACTAGCATGGAGGTATGTGCCATCTCGTTAGGAGAGCTAATGACCTGGGCTCTGTTGTTATTATCCTAATAATTAATATGTCACTTACTTGGTAACACTTCACAATATAACTTGTTTTGCTGTGAATGAAATAAAGTCAGCCCCAGAAAAAGGTTTCAGCAGCCTCCAGATTTAAGTGTGTGCAGAGGGGAGGAAACATTTCATGTCTTTTCCCAAGGCTCTGCTCAGAGAATGACTCTAATACCCAGTGGAAATGCTCTGTCAACAGAGAAAGACTAATGAAAAGGCAGAAGTTTCCAGGTACAAGAAAGTCAGAGCTCTGCTAGCTTTCCAAAGGGGTAGCTTGATTAGCATCTCCCATCCTGGTCACCTATGTAACAACATTTATCCATTTCATATAATGCCTCAGTGAAACTCATGAGTTTTCAGTACTGGCATATGTGATCTCCATATATTAATGTCTCCCTCTGGTTTACACATCACTAAAATATTGCAAACCTGCTGGGTTTATGAGTTATATGTACGTGAGATAACAAATCAAAGAAAATAACCTGTGTGACAGTGATGTAATGAGGAAGGCAATGAGCGGCCTAATGGGAGGATCAAAAAAGTAGCCCAATAAATAAAGGGGAGTTGGAAGTGTCCCCATCAGTGGCAAGCTAATATGTACACATACTGTTGTCTGCTTACCAGCTGAGCCCCTGCACAGCTGTTGGGGATCAGAAAGGCCTGTGCGCTATTTGCTGCTTTGCCAGTTCATCTGAGCTCCCTGTGCTCTGCTTCCCTGGCAGTGAGGCCCCTGACTTCTCTCTCTTCTACCCTTGCTGGAAAAGCAAGGGAAGTGGTACTTGGCTGAGAGAGGAAATGATGAGTTACTTGCCTGGTTTTGCTTGAGCTTGCTTCCCCTGCAACACATCTTGCTTGTAACCTCGAGTAAACTGCTTAGTAGATGGTCATGTCCCTACATGGATTTTGGCTGAAGGGTTTTAGCGATAAATGTTCCCATTTTTTCCTCTCAAAGCTGTGTTTGGTAGTGACTTTACTTTCTAAAATTAAAATTCTTCTTTCTCTGTTTGGCCTCTGGTGCACAGAGAATTCTCATTCTGGCTGTGCTGGTTAGTGCTTAGGTGTGGTTCAGTTGTATTACCCATGAAGATGCTTAGCTGCCTTCTTGATTATAGGGATATAGAAGTTGTGTTACAGTTATGTGATGATTTTTTTTATTATTACTTTTTATCTCCCATTCCACAGTGGTTCAGATCCTCATCTAAAAGTGCAATAATTGTTGCCAACACTGTCTTTTGGGGAATATATTAAGGACTGGATATACTTGATATTCTATACATATGTAAGGTTATAAAGACATAGCAAAATAAAAATACCGCTTCTCTGCCTTCTTTTTGGTAGGCTAAGTAAACCAGTGTCTTCCAACTGCATTTCTTATGATACAGCTTCATTAATTCTTCATTTCTCATCCTTGCAGTATTCATCCTGTACCTCAGTTCCAGCTTGCCTCCCACATTTAAAAAGAGCAAATGCAGTACTTCGTATATGGCTTTTCAGTTACGGACTGGCACAGTGGCAGTACCCGCTGAACGGATAGATGGATGGGTGCCTTAACGAGCTTTGCGTGAGACCTGTAATTTCATGTGGCAAGGGGGTTACTAGGCTTCCAAGATTCGATACGTGTGTTGTTTTTTTTCTATTTATTTCTGTGGTAGTGGCTCTGATTTGTTTTATCCTGTCCCACCCCACCTTTCTGAGAAACAAGATCTGTATATAGCTTTGTTCTTGCAAATAGCTGTAGATTGTGCATGTATGGGTTTAGTCCTAACATGGGTATCTACAGTGCTCTGAATTCTGTACAGCTCTTCTGAACACTATCTTAATATCTTCCAATTTCTAAGAAGAAGTGGTAGTGGCTGAGCCCTAGGAATGCATATAACACTGTCTTGCAAATTTCCTTGCCTCTTAGCTTTATTCTGATAACAATCTCAAAATTGTTGTGAAACTCCAGTTGCTGATTTCTGCATTGTTAACATCAGCATATTTTTTAGGTGTTTTAGGTAATGGAACTAGATGAAGGCTGAACTTTTAGGTAAAGCATTTTATCTCTTTGTAGCAAAACAGTAAACAGGCATTTAGGAATTATCTCCCTGTGGACAATGCAGAAATGAACAATGCTGCCTGTGCCATGAACTGGAAGTTCTTTGCTTTAAGTCTTTTACTTTGGGACAGTGATTGTGGAAATCTTTCTGTTTCATGTTACTTTGGACTTGTACGTGATCATAAATGTGATCAGACAATGGTTGTGTAGAATTAGAAGAGTAATTAATTAGCATGAATTATTAAGGGTTAATGATGTGTGTTATAGCTGTAATGTTCTTAGTAAAAAGACTAAGAAATGTGAACGGTTTCATTTCTACATTCTCTGAGTACACCTATGAGATTTGTGAGAGAGAACATTACAGCAGGTAATTTTCCAACTTACTACTTTCTCTTTTTGGATGCTCCTGTTTTTCCTGAAGCATTATCTGGTATGTCCTATCATTATTTGGGTCTTATTATACATGTGTGCACACAAACAATGCATGAGCCAAAGACAACGACCAAAAAAAGGGGTTGGGGTTGGAGCATAATCTCTAATTCACAGGAAGGAAAATGATGTGCAGTGAGAATCCTCAGTTGATGTAGCATTTTCCAAAAGTAGTATACTCCCTGCATACACCAGTACTACTTATGCACTTCAGAGTTAGAGGTTTTGTATGTAACCTTGAACTTTGTACCTTTCTAACCTGAAGTGCCTCTGAGAGGAGAATAATTTCAGTATTTAGTAATGATGATAGTGGGCATCATAGAAGTACGTCAGTGGAAAAGTAGATCCTATATATCTTGATAGCTTTATCTTGGGTCATCTGAAGCTTGAATAAATTGGAGAATTCCGGTGTTAATAGGGTGTAGGATATGTTCAAGATTAAACTTGAAATCTTTATAGAAATACGATAGACAGTGTTACAACAGATGACAGACCATAGGGCAGATTATTCATATGCCCCAGGGGTCCTTGAAAGAGAGTAGCTTTCTCTTACTTTTGCATTCAAGTTATGTGGGAGAGCTTGTTGCTTTTTGCTGCCCAATATTTTTGCCTCTTCTGCCTGTTCCATTTGGATGTCAACGTCTAATTAACTCGATGCCAGGTAATCTGCTCTGGCCAAGGAGAACATAGCACAAAATAAATTGAGGAGAAAAGAAACCAATGGTGACCTTTGTAAGGTTTCAGTCTTAGGCTGGCTGTAGGTGATTTTTGCTGCCACGTTTTCTTTCTTGGGGAACTGTCATTTAGCACAGACCACCTTTCACATCTTCTAATTTATATGAAGGTGCCATGTCATGTTGCAGGATACATTCAAAAGACACCACAAAATTAATGGTAATGCATCTCAGAGTCAAGGAGACAATTTTTTTCAAGCAAATGTGAAGGTGAGGCGTTTGTCAGGACCTACGATAGGGAAGGAGCACAATGATTATTATTTTGTGGGGTGAAGGTGTCACTAGCATGGTGTTAACCATGTGTGTGCTCTACTTCTCCATGAAAAGCACATGCAAGTAGCCTGAAATATTTTGTTTCATATCATGTACTCATAGCCCACTTGTGAGTGCTGTGCAGCAGAGAGATAGACCAGGTATATTTTTAAACTACTAGGAAAGTTTGCTGAAGTACACAAGGCTTTCCAAAACAAATATTATACAGAAGTAAAAGCCATTAAATCAATGCTGCGCTACCATTCAGTGATTTCTATGTATCTCATGCTGATACCAAGATAAACATGATTTTTAAAGCCAACGGATCCATGAACGTTGTGACAACCCTAAATATCTGTTTATTACAAGAAGATAATCAGCAGATCAATAACCCTGTCTGAAACGGTTGTCTTGCAGCAGTATTGGATTTTATTTTTTGCACTAGTCAGCGTTTTCTGAAGGGATGATTTTCCCAGAAAAGGAGTCACGTAACCACTTGCTGGGTCATTGCTTTGTATAGCTAAGAAAGAGGAAAGATCTGCTCTGACTGTAGCCTCTCATGAGCAGGGAACTTGATATGACCCCAGAGTTTATTTGTAGGCCAGCAAGGATGTCTGAATGGAGAAAACCTAAATCTCGGATGACCTTGGATCTGTACCATGCTTGTAGTGACCCTGGTCTCCCTTGGCTTCAGCTGTGCTCTTAGAGGAGAGCTGCTCCCAATGGTGATGTGCTGTGGGGAAAAGGTGTCAGCCCATGTCTAAGAACTACTTCTTAAATCTGGCTCTAGACAAGAGAAGACAGAGCAGAGGTTATAATCCTTTATTCTCCAATTCAGATTTTTTTCTTGCCATGCTTCAAAAGCGTGCAAGGAGATGGAGGACAGATTAGCACATGCGGTTGCTGATGGCTTGAATTGATGAGAAGATGCAGGTGCTGTAACCCACAGCAATTCATCCATGCAGTGGTATAACTTGAAACGTTGCAGAGTGGATAGAAATCAAGACAATGTTGACTTAGATATCAGCATTAAAAACAGACTTGGATTTAAATAAGTACCAAAGGGGACAGGCGGTTTGTAATAACATTATCCCCACACTGCTGTACTGTGGCTTCAGCAGAGATACGCATGGAAGCATCCAACAGCTGGGATGTTTCCACAGCGATAAAAAGCAAGGCAAAACCGGCCAAAGTGGGTACAGAGGGAAAAAGGTAGTTCACCTGAAGCCCAGGATTTTGATGCAGCGTAGAGAACCTTTAGAGCATGCAGGAATTAACTTAGATTAATGCAAGAAATTCATATGCAAAGAAATGCTTGGCTAAAAATTCACGTTGTGTGAAATGTAAAGTACTTTTGCAAACAGCAAAAGAAATGGCTGGGAGCTTCTGATGCCCGTATTTTATAGTAGTGGAAGTAAGAAAGGGGATTCAGCATAAATCGAGAAAGGACATTTAATTAGTATGAAGCCAACTAGTAGGAAATCAGTCCAACTAATATATTTTAAATTTCTTACTTGAAGACATCAACTATCATAGAAATTTCATTAAACATGATTAGTTTAATTATTTTGTCCTTAGTGAGGAGTGCTAATTAACTTGGGTATGATAAATATGCATCTGAATATCACTTTGAAATCCCTACAGATCCTAATTATTCTTAAAGACTGAGGTGTAGACTTCGCCGTTATAATCCTTTTCAAAGTAAAGAATTCTTCAAGGGTACCAGATATTTCAAAGGTGAACAATTTTTCCCCTGGAAAAAAAGAAGCAATTTTCGATCAAAATCTGAGGTGAAATTATGAGGGTTCTGAGAATAACCTTGAAGTGTGTATCTTCTTCCTAGCCATGGATCCTGCCTATGAATTGAGACCAAATGAGAATCTGCAAAGAGGGATTGGTTAACTGCTAACCATTGTAGCAGCTTTGAATATGCAATCAGGATGTACATAAGAAAAGCATTACTTACCCTTGAAGGTAAGAAGGAACAATATATGGCAAACCAGCTTAGCATACATCAGGCCTTAATTTGGGACCATTGTTTTGTAATCACAGTGGAGTGAAGATGTTCTTCCAAAAATCATTTTAAAGTCCTGTATAAATGCTTTTTCTGGTGGGCTGGAGTTCAAGATCTCCCTGACTTCTCACTAGATCTAGGACGGTCTTTGAAGACTGAGTCAAGAGGAGGAAAAACAAAAAGAGCTTTTTCTGACAACTTAAGTGCCTGTTTGTTTATACCACCCAGAAAGCTTTTACTAGAACAAGCATTTTTACATTCAAATTGAGGGACTAATGATACTGTTAGGCTGTCTGTTGTGCAGTTTCCTCTTTTGGCTTCATGACAAGCACAAAAATAAATTGTAGTAGAAATAATTCCTTAATGTGGGAATGAAGTTAAGGTGTGCTAATTAAAAATGGAGTCAGTATAGGTGTACAAAGGTGTTTTGTAGGTTTGTTTGTTTACTTATTATTCAAATCTCTACATGTCAGGATATGTTACCTTCTAATCCCTGACCCTGTCAGCTAATCAAACAAAAGCATGTCTGTCTTATAATTAACAAAAAATTTCCCTGGTGGATACAGATGTTCCTATAAATCTGAGATAAACATTGGTGCAATTAAAGTGCCATTCAAGTTTCTGAAATTTATTTTGGAATACCAAAATATATTGAGTCTGTAAGGAACTGGTTATCACTCAAATGATTTGCACTTATTTTGTGGTAAAAAGGAGTGTTTTGCATAAATTTTAGTATCGGCACTAAAAATAGTGCTTGACCATATTGTGACTAGAAAATACTTTTGGTTCTCAAGTTGAGATAATTATAAACAGAAAAATATAAGATGTCTGATTTTTTTGTCAATGATCTATTGCTGGAGCATCTTAAAGTTGCAATGATACAAGGGACATGAAAAGCAGAAAGGATCTAAGTGCCTCAACTTACAATGATAATGAGTACAACAGTTCGCTGGAGTAGCTGTAAATCAAATGTACTGTAGCTATAAAAAGCCCATAAGACATTTGGATATGATCCTGGACTGCTTCTGCAATACAGAAGCTGTGCATACAAATGAGAAGTCATCCATATTGTATTATGGGGAAGACTGCATTATTGAAACTGGAAAGATGATAATAGGAAGTTGTTTTTGGAAAACTACTGAAGCTGAGCTTTGCTGTGTTGGCACCAAAGTAGGGCAATTACATTTGGGACAACATCAATATCAGTTAAATGGAGGAAATGTAATAAGGAAGGAATATGTGATCATTAGGAGTATAAATTAAATTAAATTCTGCAGATGAGAGGACTCTATATTTTAACTTGATTTTAGCCTGATTATTTTTGCTCTCATTACTTATTTCACCTTATGCTTTATTACTTTTAACCTTTTTTCTTTCTTTCTCATGGTCTGGCTAATGCTTATGACACCTTCATCCTGCATAGTGAGCTTAATTGAACTTTATATAAAGAAAGCTCTTGGAAGAATCATTTAAAAATCAATGTACCATATATAACAGAGATTTGAAAATGAAGGAAGATGGACAGTGCTGAGACTAAAGGGATTGCTAGAAGTTCACCTGAAAACATATATATATTTATTTTTTTTTTCAGGAAAAAGATGCCTAATGATTGAGGTAATGGTCTGGGAGTTCAGTGCCTGACCCCCTCATTGCATGGCATGTAATGTGTGTGTGTAAAAGCAGAAGAGTATCCCCTCCTCTCCCCCAGTTCCTACATATGCCTTCTTCCTGTTTTAAGTCTTTAATCACTTTTAAGTGGGAATTGGTTTTCACAATGCAGTGCACTTAATTAGCGTGCTGATTGCATATGGAGTTTAGGTGTTAATTCTAGTGTTTGTGTTACTGTGACAGAATTTAATATTACCTCTTCTTGTGGTAATATTAATGGAATTTTTTTTCATCTGAGCATTATGTTGGGATAAGGCTGGG